GCTGTGATGTAGCATTCTGGATTTTAGTCTGGCTTCGAGTTTGGGGTCTGGGTCTGTGTTCTTGGCGTGTGTCAGCTTGTTTGGTTTTGGGGTTGGGGGGTGAGACAGCTGGCGAAGCAGCTGTGTCTGTTTTCTGGATGGTGGTTGTCACACAACCCATTACCCAAGCCATTACTACACAGGAGGCTCATGGAAAAGAGACCAAAACACAAACGACCCAGGAAATTACAATGCAGGACCCAGGATACCACAACAAAAGAACTTGCAAGCCCATCACACAACCCATTACTCAAGCCATTAAAACACGAGAGGCTGAACTTCCGGTTTGTCGGCTTCGCGAGCGGCAGGGATTTGCGAAGCTGCGCGATCCCTGCCGCGCTAGCTGTTTTTGGATGATACCTTCGAGAAGAGGAAAAAAGCGGCAGTTTAATGGTGCTGAAAGGATAGCTTACCCTCTTTTTTTACGGAATAAAAAGTGAACATTAACAAACCTATTTTTTTTGGGTGAAAACTGGCTTTAAGCGGTGAGTGGGAAAAGAGGGGACTTAAAAAAAAATATTTGTATGCTAAGACTTTGTTGGAGGAGATGCCTTAAGGATTGAAAGACTAAAATATATTGTAATAAGACTTTAAGAAACAGATTTGGACTTTCCTTTTCTTTAATTGATACTACCCCAGGAGGAGAGAGTGGGAACTCTGTCTTGGTTTGGACTGACTGAGAACTTTGGGATTGTCTTATTTTTCCTTTGGAATATTCTGGCTGTTGTAAGAGAAAAGAAAAGAAAAGATTTATAATGGCTTCTTCTATCGAGGAACTGAGAAAAGACTATGAGCAAGCAAAACAAAATGGTAAAGCTGGTTTGAAAGAAGCCTTCCTTTTTTTAGAAATGGCGCTTATTAATTATCAACAAACATTGCAACAGATGAAGACAGCAGAAGAAGAACAAAGAAAGGAAGCCATCTTTAATAAATCTCAGAACTCGACCAAGAGGGAAGGAAGAGGAAAAAGAAGAGAAATAAAGGACTTAAGATTTAAAAAAATATTTAAGAAAGGGAAAAACAAGGTGCAAAATCAATATAAGGATGGTAAACAAAAGGGAAGAGGAATGCGACAGAGAAGGGAAGCCAGTAAGGCAGAGGCTAGAAGAAGGGGGGCTAGAAGGGGGGCTAGAAAGGTTTGGTGGGGGAAGAAAGAAAGGGAAAAGGTGGAGAAAAGTTACAAAGTTTTGAAATTAAATGAGAAAAAAGAAATTTTTTTAGGGATAAAGGATAAGTATAATTTCTTCAAAGAGATTTTGCAAGGTACATAAGATGACATTGTAGTATTGTATCAGAAATAGAAAATTTAAATGGCTTGAGAGTTGATAAGAGATTAAAATGCTGGAATGTTAATAATGATTGGTTTGAAAATATAATATGAGGGGAGATTTAGAATATTAAATTTTAATTAAAGAGTTTATTAAGATTATGGTATTGATGTTATTATAAAACCTTCATTATAGTATTTTGTTTTTAATATTTTAATCTATTGCTTAACTATGTATTTAATTGTTTTAGATGTATTATTCAGTTAGAATGTACCAAGCAAAATCGGATTGGGTATTTTAAAGATTAATTTGATTAATTTAGTGGGGAGATAGAAAGGCATCATACTCTGATTAGTGATTTCAGGAGAAATTTCTTTCTTTTTAAAAGGAATGAGACAAAGGTATAATAGAGAATGGACAAAAGATATAAATATAATGACTCAAATTAAGATGATTAATTAAGATAGAATCAAGAAGAGTGAAATATGTGGAGAAGTTAATATAGAAGACTTAGAATGGTAAATAAAATAAGTAATGATATGTAAGATGAGCCTGAATATAATTGAAGTCCATGAAAAGAGAGATACCTGGATCCAAGTTACTTTCCAAAAAGATCTTTTATATGTTTTGTGTGTGGTGTGATTATGTTGTTTTTTGGGGGGGGAAATTAATAAAACCTTGTAGAAATACAGAATGAGAATAATGGTAACTAAATCAGAAAGAAGCAGATGAAATAATAATAATAAAATTGAATAAGAGTGAAGAGAAATAAAGGGAAATTGGATAAGAGGTTTTTGTATGTTTATATGGAAATGGTTTAAAATAGAATTATAGTTTACCTGACTTGTTAAATTTATAATGGAAAAAGGTTTAAACATGTAATGGAAAATGATGACTTGTGTGTTTTGAAAATTAATAAAACTTGTTTAAAAAAAAAAAAACACGAGAGGCTAATGGAAAAAAGATCACTACAAAACAAACGACCCAGGAGATTACGGGCACAAGATCCAGGATATCTCCACAACAAAACTCACAAGGCCATCACACAGCCCATTATATCAACATCAACTCCATCAACCAATCAAGAGGCACCAGCACAGCCAACCAGCACAGCACACCAGCCCCCACCACCAGTATTTATAGAGAGATGGCAGCTCCGATCACACACTGCTTGCACTGGCACGAAGCCGAAAGCACCAGCCTGAGGATGGCGAGTGGGACCTCGCCAAAATACTCTTAATCTTACACGGGAAAAGACCCGAACACACCTAAACCTACATACATACATACATACATACATACATACATACATACATACATACATACATATATATATACTTATATATGGATCTTTGGTTATTCAGGGTTTCTCCCACGTAAAATTGAAAGTGTCTAGGTGACGTTTCGATGAAGTCTCATTCATCATCCTCAGGCTTGTGTCTTCGGCTTTGTGCTTCTCAGAGTAATGTGA